TCGGATCTCGATAATGACATGGCAGAAGAAAGTGTAGGAGCATGATGGAAATATTGGTTCATTATGCCTTGATGACCAGGACCTGACATTGGCCTGTTTTCATAACTCTGATTTACGACCGGTATTGCACATAGACGTTGGCACACACACACACAATATCTCGAGAAAAGTTAGCAGGACTAATACAAAAGATAATCAACCAAACCATTCTAGATCTATCTACCCTTTTTAATTTGTTTTGCCTAATTAAGTCTTTAAAAAAAGGTAAGATTGATCCGGATATTCTACTTTATTGTGTGTTAATGTGAAACTTTTAAAAGAAGAAGTTTCATTTCTGACGATGTGTGTCATTCGATGGAGGAAAGCTCAGACATTTTTCACCCAAAACAAGGTATGATGTCTCGCGAACTGCGACAAATTGAAGGCTAAACAGCTGCCGTACAACACAATTAAGCTCACTTCCGCTGGTGAGATCTACCTCAGAATCTCTCATTCGTGCAATTTAATTCGAAATTAAAGTCTCCCCACAAATGATATTTCAGTAGATTCATCGAAGTCCACTTATTCTTCTTATCTTTAATAAAACTAGCAGGTTAATCTATCCGTACCCTCGTTCAAATTAATAGAGACATGTGCTATAGTTGGACCTTTTTATATTATTTCGAAAAAATTTCTACATGAATAATAATAATAACGGCTTATTCATCGAAGCGTATTTGCTAGTAATTCAATTTGTAGTATCTCTTTTTCTGGAAAATGGCCTTTAGCAATTCATACATTTTGTTATAAGCATTAAGAACTAATTTTTATGCGTACATGAGTAAATTTGTCGGTGCTCAATTTATTTCACTTAAACAAAACCCCCTTGGCACAGTTGCCTGTCATAACATCCAATTTCATTTTTAAAGAATACGCCATAATCTCCTAAAGTTAATCATGAAATCAAAAAATTAATTATTTTTACAACTTCATAAAAAGTATATTTTAGATTGCTAACATCATCACTATTATTAGCATTTATCCATTACTTCGAGTTAAAAAAAGTTTTCAGTTTAGTCTATTTATACTGTACTGTCAGCATATCATATGAGTTTGTGTTTCAGTGCTGGAATTCGCCCGAGTGGAGGAGCAAATTATAAATACTATTTTATATTTGTGCATTTATATTCAGGTAAAGCATTTATTCTATATTAAATGAGTCAAATTATTTACAAGGGTTAAATGCATCTCTTCTATTTATGCTGCTTAAAGCAAAAGCCTAATGCATCGTTCGAATAGTTGCTTTAATTTGGCATGACATTAAATATTTTAGCTTTCATATTATTTTCACAGTAATTTTCTCTTTTCAACTGGCCTGCCAATATTAACTGACATTTTCTTCCATAAACAGAGATCGAAATCATCTCGTTAAAGCCAAATACGAAATACAGAGTGAAGATTTACTCCAAAGTTGGCAATGTTCTAGGTCCAGAAAGTGATGAAAAAGAATTAGCCCCACTAAACTTTGTTCCCGGTCGAGGTAAGTCCTGATAATTTTGCGATATATTCATAACAGTAAGAAATAATTTATAAGCATACCCTCATCTCCTAGTGAGACAGAATGCTTTGAATGTAATTTGTACCTGAAAAGACATTCTCGTTCAATGTTGATTGATTTCATTGAGCGATAAAGTATCGCCAAAAATGTGTACAAATAGAAGAAAATTTTAGCTAAAATGGTAGAACATTTTCTTAATTTTCATCTTTCTCTAGGCAATCAAGTGCTTCAGGCTTTATTTGTCCAAGAGTATATTTTGTTAAACGAGTTAATGCGTCTGTGCCCATTGCGAAGAGGAAATATGAAAAAAATATTACTATTAATGACCTATTCTCATTTTCTTTCCATCTTCTAGCTCCATCCGACCCCTTAGGAGTAAAAGTAAGTGATACCGGGTCGAATTTTATTACCATCTCTTGGACGGGCATAAAAGAGGGAGAAGGTATCGTTGGATTCGGATTACTTGTCAAACCCAAAAATGAAGCTGCTCCTCCAATCGAGATTATTTTAAATGCAAATATCAGAACTTATACAATTGCTGCTATTCAGCCTTGCAAGCTATTTGATATAACCATCTTTTCGTTGACCAGCGACAACACCTCGCCCGGTGTACTCGTTGAAGCCGAGACCAGTATGTTTCATGAATTTCGTCATTTTGATTATTAAGCATCTGGGAACTTTATTTGATGAATCGTAAAGTTGGATTTGTAGGGCGAATTGAAGCTGTCATTTCCAGCCTCTCAAAGGGGTAAACCAATATTTCTCTCTTTAGAAGACATTTTTACAAGTAATCTGCCCAGTCACAGGTGACTTTGGGCAACAATTATGCACTATTTGATGTAATTATATAAAATTGTAGACAATTGATGCTCATCGATACCGTCGACTAGCTTAGTCCGGTGTATAAAACACTACTTTTGATAATTATACCATCGATACTACTAGCTATACTATTTAATTGGTTTATGTTAATAGTGAATTACACTAACATTAAGGATTGATCTTTGGATATAGTTCGAAACATGCCCATTTGTGAGCAGGCGAAGCTTTAAGAAAACTTAAATAATTTTAAAAGTATTCTTTTTTTATATTTAAACCTTATCTCTTTTTATTCCTTCTTTAGAGCTGCCTACGGTCACCGGAGTGAGTGGGAAACAAGAGATGCCAGGATCTATTAAAGTAAAATGGAGTAAATTGGATCAACAATGCTTTGATGCCTATAGAATAAGTCTATCCAGCAGCTTAGAGGAATTAATCAGTATCGCTGAAAAGATTGAAGAAGGTTAGTGTCACTGAAGCAGTTGCACTTACGCAACAAGAGCAACTGGCTAAAAACATAAACGGGTTAAATAGAAAAATCAAGTAGGCTATAAGTAGTATGCGACCTGGCTCCGTAAAGTAGGCAGTCCGTCGAAGATAAATAACTTGCCTGATTCTGATTACCACTTTTAGAAATAATTGTTAATTGGATCAAAAATTGCCCTATCTTGTAGGTTTTCCAAAAGTATCCATTTTAAATCTTAGTAATTGTAAAATTGTAATGTGATGAAATTAATTAATTTTCCGAAAAGATTAGGTTTAAACATGCACAAATAACCCATAGAAATTCTCAGACTGAAAAACACTGTAACGTATGGTTGCCCATACGTCTGGCCCAATCGAAAGCCATTTTTGCATAGCCCATACCACCAAACTGACCTTTCTGTAGCTGGAACTTGCAAAATTCTTCCTAGACAAATTATCATTTTTTATCATATAATAACAGTGAAGCAAGCATCGCTGTTTCAATTTGCTCATAAATGCTTATCCATTCTTTGACAGAGCTAATAATTCCGGGCGCTATACCCGACACGGATTACGAAATCACAGTGGCTACTGTGGCAGTTGGGAAAAGCAGTCCGCCAAGCTCTCCCATCAAACTAAAGACTGGAGTGTTTTCACCGAAAGGCGGTAAATGAATTTCTAGATTGTTTAACATTATCTATATTCATCCTATAGGCTTAGAGACGTTTGTCATTATCAAGTCTAAAAAAGTAGTTAATTCTATCATCAAGAGATAGAAGAAAAAAAAACTCGTATATCTTAATTATTTTTTTTTTCTTTATCAACATTAAATTGATATTTACTAATTAATGTG